ATTTCAGGTTGTTCAGTAAATTCATGGCTGGCCATTAATTTGTTCCGTATTTTGGGAGCCGCTGATTATCGGATTTCCCGCTTCGCATCGACAAATCCATGGCTACAACTCCTGGCTGCTTTCACACTGATCATATTATGTATAAACATAGACGACCAACAAAATATCATTGTGTGAAAAGTTTTGCAATAAACATAGCATAGATATGACACACGACAACCATGGATTCAGTAACTCTTCAAGTCGTAGTCAATAAAACACAGGTATTCACGCAAAATGGACTTTAGAGAAGGCTGTGACAACACCTTTTTATTAATCTTCGGAGACCGTTATTCTCGACATAAAAACTCATTACACATAGGTTACCAAGACAAATTCGTTTCTCTTTCAGAATGATACTCACATAAAAATGAAATGTAAAACTTCATCTTACAGTAATAAATTGTTGTCACTTTTCCTTAGGCCGATTTCTTCTAAGCTCGAAGAATTTTTCGGTCAAATATGCCCTCCATTAAATTTTCAAAGTGATCCGTTGTCTGGTTCACCAGAAACGTCTAATGTGCCATCCACCGTGAATCAGCCTGTATAAAGTATCAATAACCTTATTATATACAGTCTGCTAAAACACCAACCACTAAGTGAAAGTTCCGGAAAACCATCAACAAAGAAGACTACAAAAAGGAGAAAAAAGACGACGAGTTTATAACGTTTTTGAAAGAGAGACATGAAAATCGAAATAGTCAGCTGGAATCATTAAGATCCCAACAACCAAATGATGATATATCGACATTTACAAAACGTATCGACATGACGCTAAGAAAATTGAGTGCACGTTCAAGAGCAATGGCAAAAAAAGAAATATTTAGTATTGTCTCTGAATATGAGATCGGACATATCGACGGACCCTATACTAGTTCATCGTACAATTCATACTCTCCAATGCGTTCAGCTTCATCAGAACATCAAACACAGAATGATTTGATCGATTTATCATCTCGCCAATCAGAACATGTTTCGATTGTACCATTCCAATATATTTTGAACGACGTATTCGATCAGAACAATTTCCACTGATGAGATAACATACTTACCTTGGAGTTAGTGCTAATTTTTCTTTCAACGATATTTTTCTTTTTTTAAGCATTGCCTTTTCCAGTAAATTCAATACATAATCACACTGTGTTTTATCAAGCCGAAAATATGTCCTGAACATATTGTCATCAAACAATAGGTGATTCTTCACTAATAGGGAGAATGATCCTTCGTGGCCTCTAGTTAAATATAATTCCTTAATAGGTAGTCTTTTTGTCGATTTGTAATTATATGAAAGTAAATCATCGACTTCTTCTTCTTCTTCCGATAGTAACCTTACTTGGCTTTCCATTACACTATAATGTACAGTACAGTACAAAACAACTACTTCAACGACAGACTCCACGATAATGAATGAATATTTGCTTTGGTTGCTGTATTAGTCTCGACCCACAGTACATGCAAAAGAGACCGAGACACTTGGCGAGGTCTCCTGTCTCTGTCTCTGGTCGCGGTCTCCGGTCACGGTGCGAACCGCCACCTCAACACTTGATGTAAACCCCAGTTTATTCAATCGTGTTATTAATCGCACGTACACGACGATGACTCGAACCTTTGGTGGCATCCTCGACGTTCCGATTAACTTGGAACCGTTTTGACGCATGATCAGAACCCTGATCTTGAAACGTCTCCAGGACCTAGTAGAAGGCTCCACAGGTATAAGACCTGAGAACGCGATTCGCTTCGCCCGGACCATACCAATTCCCCAGCCACTTGGTGAAATAATGTATGCTCTAGGAACCTACTACTCCCAGTAGAACGGTATTCGTTACGAATTACATCCTACTATCGATAATTCGATTATCATAATAATTCGAGATATTGAATCGATTATTACGATAATTCGAATTAATTTTTATATTATTCGCAATCACAGATCACACGTTTGATACTATCGGTGTTTGACGTAAAAATGACAGTAATCCGTAAAGCGGGTATGTTTGCAAGTAGTAATAAAAGTGAAAAAAAATAATAATTGCAAATGATATCAGAACTACAACTACTTTGGTCATTTGTCATATATGTAACTCAACCAATGATAGTTCCAGAGCCAATCGAGAATGGATAGAGAAATGTACGATTCGGGAAGGATGAGCAGGGGCGGCATTGAGATATTTTCAAAAATATTCATATTTAACTTTAATAATAAGTTCAGAATCAACAATAAATTAACAACTAAAACTTATCAAATAAAATAAATTCTCAATATAAAAATAAAATAAATTCTCAATATGAAAATAAAACGTTCTAAGACAGTTAAAATCACATCAAAATCACAGTTCAATCTAATAAGGTGCTATTCATATACTATTAAAAAAAATTATTTCATCAAGATGTTTGGGAGGTAGACGATTTCTTCTCAAATTTGTCAATTGTCCTGTTTTGGAAAATACCCGTTCTGATGGGACCGATGTAACGGGTATGGATAAATACTTAAGAGCCAATTTGTACAACTCTGGAAAAGTACTTTTGTGTGTTTTCCAGAATTCCATTGGATTACTTTTCCTCTCATAATAAGGCATTTCAAGATACTGCCGTATCATCAACGTCACAATAGTCAGAGGTGTCGTAATTGACTTTGCTTTCGCCACTTTGTTATCAAAATGCGACCAAATATCACAATTTCTGTTTGTGTCGAGATCCTGTGGTTTTGACTGGAATTCAACCTCATCTACACCAGTTGGTACCTGATTCTTTTCATTAATTAGACTTGTAAGTTCTTCACTCACCCATATTTGGGCATTGTTGGCATTAATATCATTACCGAATGCTAATTTCTTAAACCTCGGATCTAAAAATGTCGCTTTTGAGATAATTTTGTTGCATTCTAGAATTCCAAGACGACGGGCGATGGTGTCAATCAAATTCTTCCTCAGAGTTTCACAAATATCCGTTTTTGATTTCCAGTTCACGAGGGAGTGCTGAAGACCTCTTACAAGAGGAATAACCATTGAAATCGTTGGATATGTGTCTGCAAATAGAGTTGCTGTCATTACTTCTAAAGGTTTGAGTAGAAAAATGCTATCTTCGATAACAGCCCACTCATCAGCATCCAAGAACTCTGGTGCCTTAGTAATGCTAATGATGGTCATCGAAAGGGCGTCCTTCACTTTTACTAGTCTTTCTAACATGATCAGGGTGGAATTCCATCTGGTGGAAACGTCTTGTTTCAGCTTCAAAACTGGAAATCCCATTTGCTCTTGGACTGACTTCAGTTTATTGCACGCTAAAACACTATGGCTGAAATGGCCTACTATTGTTTTAAATTTTTTAACAATACCTTGAAAATTCGGGTTACTGTTCAATGCATCAGTGACACTCAAATTTAGTGTATGCGCAACACAGGGATGGTGATGTTTTTGTAGGAAATCGTTGATTGCACATTTTATATTTGATCCATTGTCGGAGACAATGGTAATTATTTTATTTGAAATATTCCATATATTGAAAATATCACTAAGAACAGTTGAAATAAGTTCACCTGAATGATTTCCAATTATTTCTTCTGTTGATAACACGTGGGAATGAAATTCATCATTGTAAATAAAATGGCACGTCACCGTGATGTAACCTCTATTGCTGTCTGACGTCCAGATATCAGTAGTGACAGAAACACTACTGGTGTCATTCAGAAGTAATTTTAATTCTTCAACTTGTTCTGCATAAATACTTGGTAAGATGTCGTTTGACAATTTTTTTCTATTAGGTAACTTGTACTGTGGTCGAAGCAAGTTTGAATATTCTATGAAACCCTTATCTTCCACAATAGACAAGGGTTGATAATCATTCGTTATCATTTTTATCAAAGCTCTATCTATATTTTTGATCTCACTTTCACCGAGTTCTGCACTAGTGGCACCAAATAGTTTAGGGGGTGCAGCTCCACTTTTTGCAACCAATCTGGCTGATGTTGGTCTTGTATTTTCCTTATCCGCTACTGCAGACGGCCCTGTCCCTGTACTTAGATCTTGTCCTCTGCTGTCAAGAGTGTCACGTTCGTTTTCGTTACCCGTAATAAAACTCATATTCGAAGTTGGCTTATTGGTTGAAGAGAGCGTGAGCGTAGGATGAATACGTTTTAAATGTTGATTTAAATTGGTAGTATTGCCAAAGAATTTTAAAGTCTTGTTACAAATATTACACTTGACACTTCTATCACTGATTTTATTAAAATGTTCCCAAACTGAAGAAGTTTTCTTTGGACCCGGTCTCATTTTTGATTGATATAAATTATAAATTAAACGAATGTACAGCACGACTCGATATCGATACTTATTACCCGGAACAGTGATCGTAACTATGAATGCGTAAATTGTCAATGTCTATTGAGTGATTCTCCTGCGCATTGCGAATGATTTTTAATTCGAATGATAATTCGATTATTCGTACAATTCGATTACTTATAATTCGATTATCAAAATAATTCGATTATGCCCGTCACTATTAGTCAGTCTAATTGCATAACTAGAAGGTGTTTCACACAGGAACATAGTTATCTCCATAAATGGTATTGGCGAAGTAAACAAACAATCCTCCAAGGGAGTTACATAAACAATAAAATCTCGATTGAGTGATGAACCAAAATTTGTACTCGATTGTGTTATCTGTTACTCGGTTTTCTGATTTAGAATTAGCTGACCCAGACTTCAACATACCAGAACCAGTAGATATGCTATTGGGTGCAGACATATCTGGATATATTCTTACAGGCGCGTTCTATGAGTACATCAATTCACGAACCGATGGCTCTAGAGACAAAATTCGGTTGGGTAATCATGGGTAAAGTCGATTATTGTCACTCACCCACTACCATCTCCAATACCTTTTTAACGCATTTCGAAAACTCCTTAGAAAGCACTATTAAGAAGTTTTAGGGAATTGAACAGGTACCAACTGCTCCAACTTAATCTGCAGAGGATATTCTGGCAGATAATCATTTCCAGGCTACCTTTTTCCGTACAGAAACGGGTCGCTTCATCGGTGAGTTACCTTTTCGAATTCCAGAACCCACATTCGAAGGTTCACGAAATGTGGCTATGAGGCGTTTTCTATCAACAGAACGTCGTCCATTGCTTTCTCAATATAATGAGTTTATGAGAGATTACCTCTGTTCTGGTCATATGGAACCTGTGACAGATGATCAGCTTTCTCTCCCATCTTATTACATTCCTCACTTGTGCGTGATGAAACCCGAGAGTTCAACAACTAAGTTGAGAGTAGTGTTTGATGCATCTGCCCCAGCTCAAAATAATATTTTCCTAAATGATACTCTCATAACAGGACCTAAGCTCCAAAGAGATATAGTCTCTATCCTTTTGAGGTTTCGACTACCCTCTCAAGTGTTTGCGGCAGACATCAAACAGATGATTTGACGGAGACATGTGACCTATGTGAACTTTATGGCCATTTTTTCCCGTGGAACCTATCCAATATTTTAGATTATTAGCCGTTGTTTATGAAATAAACTCCTCCCCTTTCAAGCCATCCGAACTCTGCTGCAATTAAGCAAAGAGTATAAGTCAGTATACCCCCAAGCTTCTCGTGTATTAGAGACTGATGATATCGTTACCGGTGAAGACTATCCTTGTCAAGCTCTCTTTGCAAAAGGACCTCATAGAGCTCCTGAAAAAAGGTGGGTTTGGAATACCTTTGTCTGCAAAAGAGTTACTCAGATACAAGAATTGGTACCATTCTCTTGATGGGATCATGTTTCCTCAACAAACAACCCAGCGGATCCCGCCTCCAGGGGCCTAAGCCCTATGGAATTGGTAGAGAATAAACAATGGTGGGCGGGACCGCCTTTTCTGGCCCCACCGTCATTGTGTTGGGTTCCAAAACAGCATTTTTCGTTAGAAACTGAAGAAGAGAAAAAGATCTTTTTTTACTGCCGTTGAGGATGATCAACCACTCTCGAAACTTTTCACATCCTTCTCTTCTCTAGTTAAAATTCAAAGAATTATATATGTAAAGGATTGTGCACAATTTGAAAAATCCAAAGTTTCGTAATTTTGACACTCTCTCTGAACTCGAGATGGAGGAGTCTTTGCTTATTTTGATAAAATTTGCTCAAGAGCTCGAATTCTCAAACTAATTAAATTTTCTTAAGAATAATATACTTCTTCCCAAAAGCCTTCGTAAACTTAGTCCATTTCTGGACACAAAAGATATTCTCATGGTGGGCGGAAGACTAGATCGCTCTTCTTTACCATTCTAAACGAAACATCCCGCTTTACCGCCTAGCAATAGCCCTCTTACCATTCTCACAATTGAATCCACTCATAGAAAATTCCTTCATCCGAGAATTTCAACCCTCCATAATCTCTTGGCCCAAAGATATTGGATAATGTCTCCAAAAAGCACTATTCAACCCAGCACATGCACCAAGTTTTGGGAGGCCGGGGTGAAATCCATGAAATCTCACTTGATAAGGGTAGTTGGCGAACAGATATTGACGTTTGAGTAGTTCTACACCGTATTAGTTCAGATCGAGGCTTTCTTGAACTCGAGGCCGCTTTCTCTCATGACATCAGACCCAAATGATTGCTAAGTTCTAACTCCAGGTCATTTTCTGACCATTGAGTCGCTCAATTCATTACCAGATCCGGACCTACGTCGACGAAGACAGCGAAGCGGATATTGTAGAAACGCATGAAATATATTCTGAATCGGAGGAAGAGATTGAGGATGGTGCCCTCAGGAGTACCTTACTTCATCGGAAAAGATCAGAAAACTAAGTGGGCGAAACACCAGGGCTGTAAACTTGATCACTCGTATGCCAGGTGCTAAAAAAATTTGAAAACACCTCTAGATATTTGGAAATACTTTTTCAATAACGAAATGCTAAGTACAATAGTAGAATATACCAATACACATATTCGAAATAAAAAGGATAATTATACCCGTGAAAGAAATACCAAGAAAACCGACGTAAATGAAATATAGGCTCTAATTGGACTACTCTATTTGGCGGGAGTAATCAAATCTAGCCGTCTGAATGCTGATGAATTGTGGAACAACAGCGGGACAGGTGTTGAGCAATTCCGTCTAACAATGTCAAAGACCCGTTTTAAGTTTTTACTTGAACATATTAGATTTGATGATCTCAATTCTCGATCAGAAAGAAGAAAAATTGATGAATTATGCCCGATTCGAGAAATTTTTGACGCATTTGTTGCCAACTGCAAATCTGCGTACACTCCATATCAAAATGTTACAATAGACGAAAAGCTAGAAGCGTTTTGTGGTAGATGCAGCTTCCGCCAATATATTCCGAGCAAACCTAATAAATACGGACTGAAAAGATATGCTCTAGTTGATTCAAAAACAGTTTATACTACCAACTTAGAAGTGTATACTGGTAAACAACCCACTTGTCTATACGCTTTGGAAAATTCAGGTTTAGCACTTGTGCAAAGAATGGTTGAGCCTATTAGGAATACCAAACGAAACGTAACATGCGATACTTGGTTTTCGAGCATTCCATTGGTACGTACCCTATTGAGAGATTTTAATCTTACGTACTTAGGAACTATTCGTAAAAATAAACCTGAATTACCTATTGAACTATCTAATCCACAAAGTCGACCTTTAGAATCGAGCATGTTTGCTTACGATCACGATATAACAGAACGTCCTACAAGAGCAGATTCAATAGCTTCCAGACCTACAAAGTCATCTGGATCTGGTAAACAAAAAGCAATAAAAAATAAAAATATTGATAGCTTTTATTGACGATATGAAGAAATCTGCCGACGATGGTGACATGGCATTTTTTGAATCTTTACTGCCAACGCTAAACAATTTTGATATTAATGAAAAATTACAACTTCGTTCAGAAGTACTTCGCATAATGATGGTGTTAGATATTCAGTGTATTTGTAACACACCTGTTCTCTGAACGCACCTTGTCACTTGTCAGAAAGCAAGCGTGGACACTTGTCACATTGTGTCGATGAGTTGGCTGGTGCTTCCGTTTATTGTATGACACGTTGTCAAGTCGGTGTTACAGAAATAAAGTAAAAACTGTAAAAGTCGTTTATTTCAAAGTCCAACCTAGTCAAGGATATAACATTAATTGGCGACGAGCCGGAGATCGAATCTATACACATATATAAAAGTGTAAAAGTCTAGTTGAAACCGAAATGTCCTTAATCGGCAACATAGAACAGTTCAATGCAAGGGAAGGTGAAATATCTTCATACCTAGAAAGGTTGGAGCAACTATTTAATTGTAATGAAATCGCCAATGCAGAGAAAAAAGTTGCACTATTATTAACATTAATAGGAGGTGAAGCCTATGGAGTTCTCAGGGATTTGTTAGCACCAACCTTACCTAGTCAAAAGTCATATGATGAATTAGTAGCAGAGTTAAAAAAACATTATAGTCCTAAAAGGTTGGTTATAGCTGAAAGGTATAAGTTCCACAGTGCTCATCAAGAACAGCAAGAAGACATAAAAGGTTTTGTTGCCAGGCTTAAAAATCTTGCTAAATTCTGTGAGTTTGGTGAATTTCTAAACGATTCGCTCAGAGACAGACTAGTTTGTGGCCTTAAGTCAGAAAATATCAAAAGGAGGCTTTTAACCGAAGAAAACCTCACACTGGAAAAAGCATATACCACTGCCACTGGAATGGAATTAGCAGAAGGACAGTTAAAAGTCATGGGCCCTGAAAGTGAACAGATTAATAAGGTATTCAACAAGTCACACCAAAAAAAATCCATGTTTGTTAAGTCCAAAGTAAGTTTAAACCCAACACATCAACGAAATCGTCAAGCAAATGGACCACTGTACAACAACAAACAAAAATGTAGAAGATGTAACCGCACACACTATGACAATAGTAAATGTCCTGCAGTAACCTGGAAATGTTTTGCTTGTGAGCAGGTAGGCCATACAGCAAAATCTGCTATGTGCAAAGGAAAAATTAATGATTTAGAAGAGGTAAATCATTATCAAGAAAGTGAAGAGTCCGATGACAGCTTCGAATTGGGTTTGTTAGGTGAAAGTGTGGGTGAGTGTACCATTAAGTCTTTAAAAAAAAGTCTTAGTCAAATGTTGAAAGTAAAGCTTCGTATAGATAACCAACATGTAGTTATGGAAGTAGATTCAGGTGCAGTACGCTCTGTAATTCATGATCATGATTTTCGAAAATTATTCCCTAATTTAGTATTAGAGTCTGTTGATTACAAATTACGAGTTCTTACAGGACAAAAAGTGAACATTTTAGGTCAGATAGATGTAAATGTTGGTTATTTAAATAAAATGTATACCTTGCCATTAGTTGTCTTAGAATCTAATTCATATTTCACACCCTTATTAGGGCGTAACTGGTTAAATGTATTAANTTTCCAATTTCCAGAGTTCAGGAAATTTGTGTTGTGTCCAGATTTTATTGAAGAAGATGAGAATAAAATGCAGAGCTTCTTCCGGTAGGTGTTT